GGACTGATCAGAAACCTCCCCAGCCTTTGTTTCCCATATTTAGGGGCACATTGACAAATCTATCAGAATATCACTATCATCTAAAAGAGTTTAAGCGCAGAACTTTGGTTTCAGGGAAAGTTTGCAACAATGGCCCTTTGACTTGAGACAGGCCCTGCTTCAAAGCACAATTATATGCTTGCTTCACTCCTTTTCTACGTGCATACACCCCTGTATGCCAAGCAACAATCGGGACAGCCAGCTTCTCCTCTCAGATCCTGTTAGGGTGGGCTGTGTCTCAGTCCAGCTCTCTGGAAATGTCTCTGTACCGTTCTCCTCAGGGTACCTGCTTGAGCCTGAGCCAAGCAAGGGCTTCCCTGTGCCTGGCTGTCAGCCCTGCTAGGCACATGGGAGAAAGCAAAATAATTTCATGTAGGCAGTGCAAAGGCAGGGAAACTTCCGTCTGGTCTGTCCTTTGCCCTAGGTGTGATGAGTCACTGGCTGAAGAAGGTAATTTCCCAGAAGCAGATGTGGGGCCAGGCCATGTACCTCACCGCTGTATCATTAGCTAGGGGGAGGTGGCAAGTAATTTCCACTCATGCATGCTGCTTCTGGAATACTAAATGGGGTTTCAGTGTGACAAAAGTTTCTCTGGATCCAAGAGGTTGATAAGGCAAAACAGACAAGAAAATCTACTTATCAGTATGGTCCTTGTGAGATTACAGTATAATATTTATTTCTTTGAGTGAAAAAAGGGAATGCCTTTTGCAACATTCCCTATCTTCACTTACACTGTAGACATAATCATCTATTGCCGTATTTGAACAAATGTTTTTCTATTATTATACTATGCTAGACATCCGATCTTGCAGTATTGCACTAACATTCATAGTCCAAAATAATATTGGAGTGAGATAGAACATTGTTAATCACTATCTAGGAAAACAAGGCGAAGAAATGTGTCCTCTCCAGATGGGAAAATCATTCAACCTTCTCCTACTCTCCACAGGCAATAAACTCCAAACATTGTACGAAAAGGTTGGGTTTGGATACTATAATGTGAAAATGATTGATGATCTGGATTTCATTTGTCACGCAAAAATGCTTTTTCCTAACAGTTTTCCAAGACTTCTATTTGCACCATCCAAATGAGTCAACTACTTTAAAGGCCTGAGCTTGCAGTTACTTTGAGGGCAGGATCTGCACATACAAGGGCTGCAGGGACAAGTAAAACGTGAGATGAGACAAATACCGCTAAGTTTTTTCATCTTATTGTGCATCATACTGAGATTAATAAAATCAGTTATTCCTCCCAACCAAGAACACACATGTTTAAACATCTTCAGAACCTGCAGTGGAATAAATTACACATTGAAAAACGGTCTCAGGTCTGAGACACGCCTTGTACAAGAGAGGGATGTAGCCAAAAAATCAGGGAAAACAAAGGAGTGCCATGGCAGCTTCATGAAGGGATTTAACTTCTGCACTTTGCAAGCTCAGCCATGTCCCAAATACTTCATATTATGCCTGTTACCAATCCACAAAGTCTTTGTCTTTGTAACAGTCTAGTGCATAGAAGCTTAATGCACCAATGAAGCAGTTACTCTAGCTTTCCAAAAAAGCACCACTGTGTAGGCCTCTTGTCTTCCCTGTGACATTCTGAATTCTGTCAGCTTGAACAATTCAGGAGATTCCAAATGTTCCTGATGGTGCCACTGAAGTGACAATGAAACATTCAGCTTCCTTTCCTTCAAACATGACCAACCTCAAGAATATTCAATATTACTTTTTTTTGGTCTAAGGTAAACAGCAGAGATGCAGGGGCATTATAGACATTGTAGGTGGAAAAATTGATCTGAATTTGCACACTATATTGAACGATTTGCAAGACCTTTATGATTAGATCTAATTTTAATGAGATGAAGTTGTCTGTGGTGGATTAAGATATCTTACTATCCAATCCATGTTGAGCATATTCACTAACAGTCGCTGTTGTAGACATGCATATTATGTATGTCAGTGAAACTAGCCCCACAGTAAGACTGAATGTCAGAACCTACCAGCTTTGGAAGCTGAAAATAAAGCCCAGAGGAAAGCAAACAGGAACTGTGAGATAGAGGGAGGGATGAAAGTATTAATCTCTTGAAAATGTAAAATACTCTTGTCCTTGCTATTTACATCATGTCTTTTGTCTCCATGCTCAGGAAGGCGTGTAATTACACTTTGTTTATCAAGCATGGTGTTTAGCTTGGAACAAAAGAAAGATAAATATCCACAGAACATGACACTGAATGCTTGTTTTCTGTGACCTTGTGGATAAATGGAACCTATTAGAAACTTATGTTCTAGCAGCAGGGCATACAAAATCAGGCTTAATGCAAAACAAGTGAGATGTATGCTTACAAAGTGTACTTCCAAGCGAGATGCTGTTACATGGTCTGGCCTTTTGAGTGGAATCCAGGATGAGCACCAGGCACTTGCATGCTACATGAGCAATGACAGGGCTCTTAGAAGAGATATCCCAACACCACACCTATTGAGCAAGGACAGAATGATAGGAAGTACAGTGGGCAGAACTGGATCTGAACACTCCCCACCTCTGGAGATAAGCTGTCTGAAGGAAATCTGCCTAGAAAGCACCACCATCTGCTCAGGGCCCAAAGTTGAGACCAGTCCTCAGAGACATGCAACTGGCTACATTTGCTTTTCAATTAAAAAAAAAAAAAAAAGAGAGAAAAGAAACTGCAATCCCTCATTACTCTTCTGTGTTTCATAAAGGTATCCTGGAGCAGTAAAGAAAATGTTTCCAGATGCTACCACACCTGCTAACACACCTGTGTGAGAAGGGAAGGACATGGGTCCTCTCCAGCCTGAGGGCTCAGCCCAGATCTTCTTGTATGAGGTGCTGGTTCCCAGACAATGGGTAGGAAAATCACATAACCAGAAGGATAAAACACAAGGACAACAGCTCTGCAGTACAGTGCCGCAGCACCATGCTTGGATTAGGACAGAGTAGGGACCCACATTTGCAGGGCTGGAAAAGACCATGACAGTGACTTTTCACCATGGTAGGCAAGTTAACAGTCCTCCCACCACTCTGGGGTAACCACACCTGCAACGGCCTAGATTTACATTGGAAGGTCATCATCTTGAAAAGGAAAATTCACTGTCATTTGGCCTACATACATTATTTTTTTTATTATTTTTTACATCAAGCCTTACCTATTGTCCCATTGGCTAAACAACTATCTCAGCCATGTTCTTCTTCTCCACTTGGGATTTTTTTTCCAGCGAGATTTTGAGCATCTGCCTGGGCTTTCTGGGTCTTTAATGAGGTAAAGTGGCAGATGCATGCCCGTTGAGAGTGTGCTGCAACCATGCAGCATACAAACAGCATTTCTATTGATTTATTATTATTATTGATTGTCAGATGACTCCTCAGAGCATGTGCTGGAGCATATTCTGGAGAAATGTATGTCCTAAGTCCAGCATGTTAGAAAAATGGGATTTACTGAGGTTGTAATTTGTGGCAACTCCATAGGTGGTGGGATAGTCCAAATTGAGAAGGATGAGCTACCTGGCTTGTCCTTAGATGCTTCCCACTGGGAAACTGTGCATACAGCTGCAGAATCTAAGCATGTAAAATGAGCAGAATAAGGAAGGAAGTGAAATTCCAAACAACCATGTAGGACCTGGAAACATCTGTATTATCAAGAGAAGCATGGTGAAACTTCTGAAAATTTTCTGCCTAGCTAAAACGGGCATTCGTGACACAGACAGTGCCAGCTGGACAGCAGGACGAGGACTCATCCTTTGGTGATACTAAGTAAGAAACGTCAGGCCTTTCTCCCTCCCTCCCCCCCTCAATTCACAGTGTGAACACATATTTGGAGCTGGGCATCACCATCTCCTGCTCTCCAACCAACAAACTGCCTTAATCCCAGCCAAACAGCTGACACAGAAGCACTGAGAGCAGGACTGGGCAAGATGCTTGATGGAGCCAGTTTTATCCTGGAGCCCTATATTCACATAAGCCCGCTACAGTTAACTCTTTACAGCTCTATTTTGGGCACAGGAGGTAAAATTTGAACATAGACAATACGTTTTTAGAACAATTTTAAAAAGCTGTAATAAATAGCCTCTGAGACTGCATCTACAGTTGGTTTTACATTAATTTTCAGCCAAAGCAGCTGAGATTCTGAGCTTTAGAGAAAATTCTCCCTTAAAGTTTGAATTAGTACCAGCATAAATCATAAGCTCAAGTGTTTCTCCTGGCTCAGGCTAACAGTCAATAACTTATTTTAGACTGTGACACGTACCAGATATACAGAAAACAACTAAGAAACAGAGCATAATTAGAATGATCCTTCTCCTTGGCTTAATCTCCCAGACATAGTGGTTTAAAACTTTTCAGTTTGTGCCATCCTGTTTAATAGCACAGTTAGCCAAAGTTCAGTGCAAGTATAAATCTTTTCTTCTCTCAAAGCTTTCTTTCATAATAATGGAAAGGTTCATTCACACGACCCACCTACTAGAGCAACATTCTACAGGCTGACACTCCCTGGGGATATCTTTGTACCATACATTTTTACCTCCCAACTTCTTCCTGACACTCAAGATTGTCTTCCCCCACAACTTGCTGCCTGGACTTTTGTTCAGCAGTAGTTAAGTTCTGGAAAGTTGTGATTAGTGAGGAAAGGTTATTGGCTTCTTCTAAAAGAGGAATAAAGTCTTAAATGCCATAGCAGTTCCTGCACTCATACACTACTATGTGTGTTTATTGTACTACGCAAACCATGGTCTAAAGCACCCAGGTTTCTTTCTGCACAGAGGTGAGGACACGCTGTCTTTGTTCTGTTTCTCAAAAGCATTGGTGTATTTCAGCACTGGTTCCCATCTCCCACAGCTTCTTAAACAAGGTCAGATATTAGGAGAAATGTTTGGGAGAGCTTTGGGGAGATGTGCTTGGAAAGGCGACCCACTGCTTCAGAGACCTCCCCGCCGCCCTTGCCAATGCTTACCATAACCCATGAGAGACTCGCAGTTCCATTCCCCACCCTGCGAAGGCCTGCTGCAACTCTCCCATAGCGACGCTTGGTGCACATAGGGCAAGGTCTGTGACTCCAGCCAGCCCCTGCCCGCCAGTGCAATGATGCCAAAGATAACGCCAATGCCCAGGAGCAGGGGTAGGATCCATCTGCAGCGAGTGTAGTCAAGGCCGTACTTCACCATCTTGCTGGCAGAGCACGGAAAGCCGACTCTGTTACTGACCCAGCCGCACCAAGTAAAGGGTGCTTCTGCAAAACGCCCCGAGTAGGAGCACCCGTACCTGCCAGCCTCCGTGAAGCTGTCTGAAAAAAAGCTTTTTAATCAGGACAGACACGAGAGGGAGGGAGGTAGGCAGCTCCACCTAAATTCAAATGAGTAAGAGCCACTGCAGAGCAATAACCAGTTGGGCCGGGGGAGGCTGCAAGGCTGGGTTTGTCTGTGGGATCCGCTCTGCTCTGCTGACTCGGTAACAAAGCGGGTGCTGCTCACCCTTGGCGTTTAACACTTTCCTTCCTGTCTCTCCCTAGCGAAAGGAGTATCTCATAGCTGAGCTCCTGAATCAGGGCAGCTGAATGCAGGAACCTAGCCAACTGTTTGCATTGGAGGGCAGTGGCTTCTTCTGGAACTTGCCATATACAGGCTGAAAGCTGCCTTTCTTGGTTTCTATTTAAAAATGAATGATAGATATCTTTGACAATCAATTAAAAAAATCCTCTGGCTTCTATTAAATAGAAACAAGAAAGAGCTTGTAAGTGTCCTCTCTATCCTTTATGGACATAGCTGCAGGAGGGAAAACACCATGGGAATTAATCATGAAGAATATAGTACAGTAAGGGTATAGCCATTGTGGGAGAATGAATCTGAGGCTTTGGTTTGACTGTGCCTTGGGAAGTCTGCACGTGGATCCATCCATGCACATGCTGCTCAGGGCCTGCCTGAGCCTGCCTGTGATGTGCTGGAAGTGCAACACAGAGATGAACCACAGCCTCCCTGCGACCTGCTCCAGGTTTGTCTGTCAGGCAGCTCACAAGCAATACAGCCCACAGAGCTCTCCCTTTGAACTAATATGTGCCTCAGCCCAGTATTTTGGTTGCCCATACATCTGAAAGCAGCTGCACTACTTGCAGATTGAAGCTGTTTTCCGTGAAACATGGTGAAGCACAGAGAATGCAAAGTGTCCTTTGCTCCCTTTGTGGATTTTGTCAGCCAGGTCTGCATCCAAGCCCAGACCTGATGTACTCATGAAGATTTGTAATTATACTGCAACTTTCTTGATGAAATGTCACATCAATGCTAAATCACAAATTTCACATCATTTTGCTGAATTAATATTAATAAATTAGTAATGAACTAATATGAAGTAAATTCATAACTTACACTGAATTAATGCACTGTACAAGAGGGCGCACAAAAAGGTCTTGAGCTTGCATAGACCCAAACTGCAACATCCACACCAGTGAACTGCAGCACAGTGAAGAAGCATTAGCTCCATCATGAAAGCAATTTGAATGTGTCAGTGTGACACCATGTCTTATCCACAAGCGGAGATATCTGATTAGCCTGCTGGTAGATCAGCAGTGGTGCAGCTACTTTGCCCCTCTTTCTCCAACTGGGGCAGATCTGGCTAGCTGAGGCCTTCTGGCACTGGCTTCCTGCAGTAAAGTCATGGATCGTGTTCTTGAGGTTGTGAGGAGTCCTTAAAGGGGTTTTGATGGGTCTCTGTTAGATCAGGAGATGTCTCTACAGACTTGACATTTGAATTTAAGTATCACTTTAAGCAAAAGCCAACGATCATGACATCTGAGCTGCTGTTTTGGGAAAGAAAGAAAGGACAATCTCAAGAAAAATGAAACTTTTTTTTTATAATGGACACTTTAGGAAGCCCTTGAGGGCTGTGTTTTTACAAGCCACAAATTCAGTTATCTTTAATCTAAACATAATGCTTGAAAGGTTAATTATCAGTTCTAACATGCTACAATACATCTGTTTTTGTGCACAGAATTTTTATATATACGTTAAAACAGCTACTATTTGAAGCTCAGCCATAGTGCAACATGCTGGTACCTGCAACCTGTGCACATCTGTTTAAACATTCCTTCTGTTACCACAGCTGAAGTAAAAACGGTCGCAAAATCTCCAAAAGAGATAACAAAGATTTGGATTTGGATGATAGGTGGTTTCTGTATGATGACTTCAAAAGCACTCATGCACGTGGCAGTAGACTGCTCAGCTGTCTGTATCTTGTCTCTTGTCAAGTCTCAATCTTTCAAGAATAGTATCAGTTTTCTATAAACGTGGCCTTTTTTTCTCAGATAAAGCAACATTGCAAAATAAAATGATTTTCCCTTATTTATTGTGTGCTCAGCCATCTTTTAGGTAGCTGTTTATGACTGAAGGATTTGTCATCACTTTTTGTCATAACGCACCTTTTATGAAGGCATATTGTCAGAGAAGTTAACATTTGCAGGATGATACCACAAAACACATTAATCATATTATTATGAAAGAAAGATGAGCAGCGTTCAGTCTCAGAGGGTGTTCCCATGCCCTGCCCATCTTTGTCATCCTTACATATCTTAAAATGACAAGCAATGCTCACGTTCAGTACAACAGTAATTTGTGACATCTGGGACAAATGAGATTAAGACGTATTCAAAGCTGGCGAAATGATGTATCACATGTAATTCTGATATTCCTGTGGCAAAAGGGAAAAACTTTTCCCTTTTTCCCTTTTCTGTTGCACAGTCTGTGATTTGAAGTGATGACTTGCCCACAACAGCCTTTGTATTTTGCAGTGTATGAGCTGTGTGAAACCACATGGTTCTTCTGTTTTTCGACTGCCTGTAGATAGTCCCTCAGAGAAAACACCAGCATCATCTATTGAAAATAAAATGTACTAGCAATGACAAAGTTGTTAGAGTATAGGGTACTTTCTGAACCTCAAAATATTCTTAACAAATTCTCACTGCTATTGAAGTAATCAAGTAAGAAGTAAGATATTGGTAATACAAACAATTTAAAGGCATTAAAGCTAAAAATAACAGTATGTCCCTTTCAGCCATGACACAGATGATTTTCTTTGTTGAAGGAGAAGCCAACAAAGGATTGAGAGAACATTTCCATCCATGTTTCATGTAAAGTTATCTATATCTATGACTGTGGAATGACATGGACTTATCCACCCTGGGACATGTTCATGACTTTTGCAGCAAGAGCATTTTCATTCTGTGGCATTCATACTTCCTATGAACAACTCTCCAGACCTGTTTCTTTCAAAAGGTTGATGAAATTATTTTATGAGGCATTCCCTCATGTGCTGTCTTATATCTGACAAGTTACCCTGAGCAACTGAAAAAGATTTTCTGCATGAACTATTATAAATCATATGGTAATTGTTGTTATTGTTATTGATCCATTCACAACCCTGGGTCCTTCTTTTCTGATAACGTCAATCGGTTGTTACTCTTCAGAGCCAAACACATCTTCCCTTACAAGCACAGTTATTCTTATAAAATCAGCTCACAGAGTGATGTAACTTGGCAAAATAATACTTAGGCTAAAGCATTCCTTGTGGTCTTCTTTGTGCATCACCTCTACACCAAAGCAATAGACACAGGCTCTTTTCTCAGTATTATTTATACTTCATCCATGATAAGGACAATCAGAAAAGTACCTTTAGATATGAAAGTGTTCACAGGATAATCCAAAGCAAATTTTCTTTTCCTTTTTAGAAGAATACTGAAAACTGTATTTTGAACAGGACTAAACTTTACTTCATTGTAAAATAAGAACACCCACTTTAAAAGTTGAAGACAGCTGAAATCTTGTCGTTTTGAAAGTGCTGCCTGAAGGCTAGCACTAGTACACAGAACTCAAACCGAAACAAGCAGAGCACTGGGGAAATGATTGAACCCCTAGCAAAGAGAGGTTCAGATTTATTCTCAACTGCCCTTCTTGGGGAAAAGCTGCTGGTTGCTCCTCTCAGATGCTCCCAGGTTTTCACCTCACTAAGCCAAGCCCCTGGTTTTAGGTTTTTCCTATATGCTGCGGATTTCAAAGGACTCTCCTGGACGCAGGGGCTCTGAGGTGACATGAGGGGGTGGCCTTGCAATGGCCACTACTGGATCATGCTGCCACACAGCTAGGAAAGCCCCCTCTCACTCCTACAGCAGCACAGGAAAGCTCTTCTTGAGACCTCCTCTGCTTGCTGGCCCTGAGCTTGGAGACATATCTGCATGAATTTTCTGAAGACCTTTAGCAAGAGCCATCTAGAACTGACATGCTGTCTGACCTCCCAAGCCTGCCCCACACGATGCTTGCTAGGCCTCCCTCAACAAGACAAATGCACAGAATTAACAGACTTTTTCTTCTCTGAGCAAGGTTATACACACAAAAACACTATGGTAATAGGAGTTTTTAACAGCAGATTTGTGAACATGAGGCTGCACCCATGTCTGTTATTTTTGTTGGTAATTTATAAATGTAAACTCTCTGTGTCTGAGCATGCCTTTTGTTCTCAGTTTTGTTAAATAACTTGCTTTTTTAGGGAGGGCTTTGTGCTGGAATAAGTCATCTCAGCCCAGAGCAGAGGCCTCATGGTGACCTCCTTGCATGGAGTGGAGGGACAGTACTGGGCTCTTCTCTCTGCTGGCAATAACAGGGCCCGAGGGTACGGCATGGAGCTGTGTCAGGGGAGGGTCACACTGGATGTTAGGAAAAAGTTCTTCACCAGAAGGTGATGAGCATGGCACAGGCTCCCCAGGGCAGTGGTTTTGGATAGCGATCTCAGATATAGGTTTAAATTTTGGGTAGTGCTATGTAAAGCCAGGGGTTGGAAGTGGTCCTTAAAGGTCCCGTCCAACATGGGATATTGTGTGATTCTGAGTCTTCATCCGTAGTTACTTCCTACCAATGTTCTGCAGAGGTTAGATGAGCACAGCTTTCCTCCCACACCACCAGTTGTAATCAATGATGTCATGTAAAACAACCACACAGCTACAGTCAGGTCCTAAAGATTTATAACCATGTGTGGAGATCTGCAGATTCTTAGTGTGGCTGTCAGGAGTCAGCTTTTTTACATTAATAATTTTACTTAAGTGATTGCTTTGGGGGACCACAGCTTCCCTGCGGCATACCGGGACAAACTAAAGAGCTGTCCCAACATAGTAGATCATAACTGTAACTCCTTACAGATCATACAGGTCAGCTGCCTTAGAAGAGAAGTAAAACCAGCCTCATACAGCTAATTCCCAGGCGCCACTCCCTTGCTACTCACGTTTCTCTGACAAAGAAATGGCTTCATCTACTGTGCCTTATGGGTCAATAGGGAACAGCACCAGCTATTTCTGTAAGTACTCAGCCCCACAGATAAGACATGCATACCAAACATACTTTGAAGAGTTTCAGCTGTGAATTTCCACTTTGAAATTTTTAGTCAAAAGTGGGGTTTTACTGAAAACAAAATGTTACCTAGAAATGACTTTCATTTCCAAGTACTTGATATGGAGTATCCTTGGGAAGCAGGCTGAAAAGAAAACTCCAGTCTGCTATCAGCATTTTCATATTTGCACGCTGTCTTTGCTTTTTATAGTTATTTTAATCCGCATGTTCAGCTGCTCCAGGCATGAACAGGCTCAAGCTCTTGGGTTCACAGTTTCCCATGTGAGATCTCATCTTGAACCTGTCTGAGCTCTTTCAGCTGTCTGTGTCTCCGGGAGCTCTGATTTCCAATGTACACACCCAATGCTCTGCAATTTTCAATACTTACAAGACATTTCCATATTCTCAAAGAGTGTTATGGAAAATAGTATGTGTTGGCCTCATTGCCATAAATAAATAAAAGGCAACAGTCATACCAATCCTTCTGGTAAATATTATCCAATCCTGAAAAGACATACCCATGAGAAATATTGTCCATGGAGAAGTTAACATTCATTATTTATGTCAGATAATGCATATTTCTTATCATACTTTATCATTTATTTATATTATTTGCATTTATATTATTTATATTATAGAGCCCTAGACACTCCTGCATTTTTTCCACTACAGTGTTTATTACAAATTCAGCCTTATGAAATTTAGCTATTGAAAAATCATTGTAAAAAAAGAATCTTTTGATTATTTTGACAATTCCTAAGACATTTAAATATAATTGTATACAAGAAAAATTTGAAGGCATTGTTTTTTTCCCTGAAATTTCTGGATGTGGAGCTCCATAGCCAGAAGCACCTAGGCCCACAGCTTTGGATACCAGCAAATTGCATACAAGTGCTGCTTACTGCACTGCTGCAGACCTGCACAGGGAATGTATTGCTGCACATGCATAGCTAAGTCCATGTGTCCTTGGTCCATCAAATCTACACAAGTGACTGCTGCACCTGTGCTGTGATGCTGGCACATCCCAGGTGAACTGAACCCAGATTTCATTATACCCACACACATACTTGTTATAGGAATCTCAGCCAGAAATCCCTGCCTTTGGGAATCATATTTGATTGTGCTTCATTCTGGTTGTATCAGCTTACAGTTTCATTTCAAAATCTACACCAACTCACCCACTGGCACTGAAAATCCCATATTTTCAGATTACCATTCCTTACTGCCAGCAACCTCTACTGCTCTGTGCTGTAGCACCAATACTCAGCTCTTTTGCCTGTGAACATTCTAAAGCATAGTGGTTTCCACTGATGTACATCTGTGCTCGGTTCATCATTAATTTATAAATGCATCATGTTCTCAGCAACTCTTTTTAATTCTTTTTTTTTTTCCCTTCACCCCCCCAGGCCGCAGGCAGTAAGGAATGGTAATCGGGGGGGGGGGGG